AGACCTTACAGACTGAAGCAACTACATTATCTGCCCAACTTACTCTACTTCAGGTGACGATTATTTTTATTATTTTTTGTTTAATTATTGGGTTTGGCGAATAATTATTTTAATACTTGATGCTAACTTCATTATTTCTGGTATATTTAGCGAGATTCTGCTGGACTGACTAGCCAAAACAATGAGCTGAAATTTCGCTTGCAGGCCATGGAACAACAAGCTCAACTCCGAGATGGTATGAGTTTTGTGTTTTATACATACCATTCTTGTGTTCTAGAAATGTGGGGCTCCATTCAGGTTTGTACTCGATGTGCTTGGTATTCAAATGATCATACAAAAGGGCAATATGTAGAGTTTTCATGGGCAGTATAATTCGTAATTTCGTATACAATTGAGTTAGATGACTGTTGTTCCTTTTTCATTAGAACTAAAACTGCATACAAGGGATCCAAGTACCATGCTAGAAAATTTACTTTTTTCCCCAAATTACTAGCAATCCAAGTATTCAACAATCAACAATCTGTCTTTGATGGACTTGTTATCAGCCTTAAAGGTTATAGTTCTTCTGGCCCAGTTTGATTGTTGGCTTTAATTGCTCCACTCATGCTTTTGCAACCCTGGAATTTATTTACAGCACACATGCCTCTTTTAAGTGTACTTTATATTGCTCTAATATGTAATATCTCGTCTATTTTTTGTGTCTCGTCACTTTTCTCTTACCAGTAAGTCTGTGCTTGGTAAGCATATAGGCTAGGTTATAAGCTTCATGTATTCAAATATAAGTTTGGTTTGGTAGGACGAACTTTTTCAAAAAGCTCAAACTTATCTCATAAGCTTCCTTGGGTAGTAGCTTTTAAAAAAAGTCTATTGAAATTCTTATTTTATTAGCTAATTTTACCAAACACCAGTTTTTCAGCTATAAGTCATAAGCTATCAGCTATAAGTTTGAGATAAAAAGCTACCTAATCAGCTATACGCTAACTTATATAACCTAAATCTAGCACGAAAGGTTAACTTGATCGTTTGCTTTGCAATTGGAATTGAAAAATTCACTAGTTTTGGATTCTATAATGACAGCTCTAAATGAAGCACTTACGGCAGAGGTACAACGCCTGAAGCTTGCAACTGCCGAATTAGCTGGAGACACCTCCAAGTTTCAGCAACTTTCAATCAGCCCCCAAATGTTTCAGTTGCGCCAACAGCAAATGGCTCAAATGCAAAACCAACAGCAAAAGCAGTCACAACAATCAAACGGTATTGGCTCCGCAAAGAACGAGTCGAACAAATAAGCTTTCCGGCACATGCACAACAACGAAAACTACACCACCAGATAAAACTTGAAATCAAGAAGCAACAGCTTTTGATGGCTGCTATTCCCTTAATATCTTTTACAAGCAGTTCTTTTATTTAATTCTTTTTTCTTTTACCTTTTCTTTTTTTCGCGAATTGCATTCATTCATTAGTTATGCACCTTTTGGAAACAGATCTACATCCCGGGGGGCTCTCGAGTCTTACATGTTTCTTGTTTTCTTGCATATCTGTTTCTTAGTCGTGAACAAAACTGTAGTAGTATCTCCAAAGCATGAATTTATGCTCTAGTAAGATGTTGTGTCAATCTTTATTATTATTATTATTATTATTATTATTATTATTATTATTATTATTATTATTGGATTAATCATCAAATGTATTAAGTTCCATCTCCTTTTTGTGCTACTTTTGGTGACAATATATTATACATCTCTCTCTCTCTCTCTCTCTCTCTCTCTCTCTCTCTCTCTCTC